CTGTACATTCTGGGGGCGACTACCAAAATTATTTTTTACAGTTGCTTAAACATTATAACATGAATACTGATTATATTTATACTACGTTATTGTAAAAGCTGCATTTCAGTTTTACATGTAGCAGACAGTTTTACAAGTGTGAATTCTTATGTGTAATTTTGAGAAGAGAGTGTGTATTAATTTTGTAATTTTAATTTAGCTTGAATGTGGTTTTCGAATGATATAATTGAATTAAATTTAATAACAAAATGTATGCATATGTGTGTATTTGATATGTAAAGTTATATATACGTATACCGTAGTTAGTGGTGTTTCTTTCTACTCCATAACTATAATCTTTTCAGTTTTTGCAAATTATGTTCGTTCATATATCCGAAAAACTTTTATCTCAGCATACTTAATATTAGTTGCATAATTAATTTTAGCTACAACTAACAAACTTGTATCAAAAATTATTATGTCACATGGATATAATAATGAGTTATTTCAATGAAACAAAATATGATATTCCATAATGTCTCCTTTCCTTTATTTAGTTTATTTAAAATTATTAGATTGTAAATGATTAGTTATTTTGCGGTAAGAATTGAGAAATGCTACGTAAATATTGTTTTATAAATGGTAGAAACAGGAGCAGAAAGATGAAAGCGAGCAATTCTCAACGCCAATGTATTTTCGAATAACGGACAGCGAACCAGAATCAAAGGGCATGCATACGGAATACAGGAAGTGGCAGGATAGCATGAATCAACTTGAATAAGTCGCGACGGGTCGGATAATGAGAACGGAGGTCGACCAGAGTGAGGAGATCGAGTAGGAGAAAAATACGAGCAGGTCGCAAAGAGGCGAGCTTTCGAGAATCCGAAGCACGACAAACAAGTGGAAAAAGAGGCGAGAAACACGCGTACATAAAGAATCTCGCGCTTCGGGGATTTCGTGACGCATATTTGCCAGCGGCTGCCATAAATGCCAGAGAAGAACCATAAATAGAGGCGTGAGCGAGTTTGTCGGACTGAATTCTCGTTATTTCGCGGTATAACTGCACGATGGTAAAAAACGCATCGACTTTCCAGCTGCGTCCACAACAATAATCTTTCGGTGTCATGCGAGAAGTCCAGCACTTCCGGTTGCCTCGAATTCTTTTCGCCGCGGAGAACCATCACGATCCTTCGCTTCTCGTGTATTCTTCCGTTTGACCTCGCTCCGAGCGATCCACTCGGAAGCGACGAAAATTGAAGGAGTATGGTCGTCGAGGTGAGAAATACCACGTTGCGGAGGTGTTTTAACGCGGTTCACTGGCTTTCAGCTATGCGGGCTTTTCACGAGCAACAGCGACAGACAAGGTTGCGGTTTACTTACACTTATAGAATGTTATTAATATAATGTGCTAATATCACATTATTAAGAGATTAATTACAAGGACATTAATATCATTTTGCTCGTATAACGAACTTTTACCCTTTATCATTTATATCTTTGTCTCTGGTTTTTAATTATACGTAGTTTTTATGTTCATATATCATTTCTATATTACCCACGTATCGAAAATTTCTTTCGCAATAATATATTACGGTTATACTATTTTTCCGAATTGTGCCGATTGTTAAGATAAATGAGATCATAAATGAAAACTTATTTCGAATCGTAAATGTCACGGGGTGACTGGAATTTTTTTTATTTTTAATTGTAGCTGGTTCTCGTGTTCGAAATCCGGACGTTGATGTTTTGACGTTCGTCCCATAAAGTGCATTAGTGACGATGTGCATCGGCGAACGCTCGTGATATTTTTTATCGCCCTCCGCCCTCCGTGTCCGAACTCTCGCGTGTTCATCGTTCCTTGCTTGCTTTTTTCGAAATGGTCGACTATTGGATTACTTACATACGCTTCGTCGGCTATAACTTAAAATGCCATGCCGGGCGACAATATGCGGGAAGCAGAGGGTATGAAGGGTCGCGAAAAGTGCAGTGCCCACGTTACTTTAGAATCGTCGATGTCGAAGGCGCATTTTTGTCTTCAGCCCCGAAGTTAATCGGACAGTACCGTAGATAATGTTTCTGGTAAAATTTACAGCGGGGCGGTAGCATTTAACTTCAGGTCGTTGAACGTTATCGTTGAGATTTGCGATGCAAATACGATGAAGGTAGTAAATACAGTGTGCGATTTTATAATGCAAACCCAAAGAACAGATCGCGAATTAAATATGATAAAACAAAAGCAATTAACTTTTTATATTTCAATGAATCGAATTACTGCAAATCCTGAAATGTGTGTGAAACAATTAAATATTGAACATTTCTTGTTGTTAAAATAATGCACTTTACGAATAAGTATAATATTATGAACAAAATAACATAAAAATAACAAAATTAAAAATGTAAATTCTAAATTAATTGAACAAAATATGTGTTAATTTAACATAAATTTATCATAAATATTAATTTTATAAAAAATATGCTTCTATATATATTTGCTTACAAATTGTGTTAATGTTACTTTCTTTATGTTAGTTTATTTTATATTATTATATTATTATTATAATATTTATATTACTTTCCAACATGTTCATCTTGTGTTAAATTAACACAATAATTTAGGTAAACACTTGAAACACTTTTAAACACGTGAAATATGTTAAAATTGTTAAATTTTTTAATTATGAAGTTGAGAGCTTCTTGATTAAACAACGAGTTATTACCGGAGTATGAGAAGACAATATTCCGTTCATACTCGGAAGCTGATCCGTCATAAGCATACTCGTTCCATCATGGTCTTTTCTCCCACAATTCACATAGATCGAGAGGTTCAATTCGAATGAAAGTCGAGGTTCGCGCTCTTTATGTGCACATTCTCGCGAATAAAGAGTATGACGGTGAGAGTCGTATGTCATTCAGAAGTCGTTCCGCTATGTCATGCTTCTTGTTTGCTAGAAAAAAAGAATCCGTTCGCCCTCTCTTCATAGTTCTCGCCGGAACACTTCGGACCCGAGACGACCATTCTGCGGGTAAGTCCGATCCATCAATGCCCGCCGAAGCGAAGGCCCTGATATCGGCCAAATTTCCCGCGAGGGCCACACCACGGCCAGCAGACCGCCGACGGATGGGAAGCTCTCCGCTGGAATTATGGTTCCCTTATGCTCCCATTACAGAGCCATCTACGATTATGTTCGCGCCGGTTTCAGCCCCGCCCGCTCTCCTGATCGCTTCACTGCCCTCGCAAACAATCTCCATGGGGCATTTTTGGCTCTTGATGGATGTTGACCTTTTAATGGCTCTCTCTCATAGCTCGGAGAGGCCACGTTTGCCGTTCGCTAGAACATGCTATGTACGTTGACTCGGGCGAGATTTGATGGACAATATCGTAATGCAGTCACCAGAATAATTTCGTATTGACGATACTGGCGATCAGGGATATCCTTGGCCAGTGATCGATGCTGACGTTTGCATGTTATCGCCAATGGAGGAACAGATGACGCTTTTGTGACAGCGCAGGAGCTTGTATTTTATTTACAATTCTGTTACCGGAAGAGCGATTATATCAGCATACATACACATACCAGGATATGCACACTTTACCAGATTTATTTTAATCGAATACATTTGTGCTGATCGCTCTTTTTGCGCCGTATACCTTTCCCGTTAACGTGTACATTTCACGTTTTGTAAAGATACACTAGCGCAGAGAAATTTAATTTAATTTTTTTCCCGCGATTACACACGTGTACATTCAAGTTAACCAATTTATTTCGCTTCAATAACGATGATATAATAAAACTTATTGATCCGAATAAAAATCAATTTATACTTTATACAATTTACCATCAAATTCAATTTCGTGCGTTATCGCGCTGCAAAAATTCTTATTGATATAACGTGGTCCGGATTACAAGAGTCATAATTGAAATTTGTGTAGGTCATTGTTATAAATTTTACACGCAGATTGTGTTCTAGATAACCGCGTTCTATATGCTTACATTACGAATGACCAATAACACTTGGTCAATGTCCTTATGTTTGATAGAAGGCCGACCTAACGGCCGAGCTAACGTTACCAAATTACCAAATTGCCTATGACTAACTTGCATCTCGAGCTACGCCCAGACTCCGTTCATTGTCCCGTTTTTGCAAACATAACATCCATCTTTCTTATCTCACATTTTACGCGCAACACTCATATTATGAAACGCAATATCCGCTTCTTATTGGTATCGTAGATACGAACCAATCGTATTGCGCGTCACATTGAATGCATCCAATAATATTGCATTAAATTGCTGGGATAAATCTGCAACGGGCAATCCAAACGTGCATTTATCTTTCACGCTGTGCTAGTGTGCCATTTTTCTCTCCGGCGCTCTTTGCCGCCCTATATCATATTTTATATCACTAGATATAATTTCTCCGTGTGTCTCCCATATGATATTAGCGTCTTCATGCTTCATATTTAAAGATACAATATTTTGCAACAAATTATGTATAATATCTTTTTGACTATCTTTTTCAATATAGATCTTTATACACATTTTATGATCCATAATTTTTGATACTGTAATTTTAGAAAGAAAATATTTCAATTAAAATATACGATTTTTAACGTAGATTTCGATTATATTGCTTTTTTTATATGGGATCATTTCAAAATTCAAAATTGCTCATCTGCCACCTTTTGAGAAGGACTTCCCTTGCAACACATTTAAAAAACTCGTATATTATAAAAAAATTATCGTATATTTATATAGTGCCTAAGATATATTAATTTGCAACACTTTATTTAGATTATCCATTATATCTATACTTATCAATAAATGTTGAAAAATGAAATGAGACTAAATGTGACACATAGTGTTACTTAATTAAAAATAAATGTTTTCCGAATATAATAGGTACTTAAGAAACATTTAGTAAGTATTTCTCTTACTCGAAGAAGATAACAAAATTATTTTTTTTAATATAATCTATGTAAATATGACGACAATAGATACATGTATTTAATTCTGGTCTTAATGATCAAGTCAAGTAATTTATTTAATTTAGCTCTCTTTTGCTCTCGAACAATAAATAAATAGATTTTCATCAAAATCAATTTTAATCATTTTAAAAAGAAAATTTAAGTAAATCTAAATAAAAATCGCGAAAGAATAAATTAACATAAATTGATAGAATAAATTTGATTTATTTTCACTTATATCTTACATTTATTTTAAATTGGAATTGAATAAATTAAAACAGAATTGCCTTCGTCAAGTTTTACATATAGATTAAAAATGTATAGCTAGAACACACACAATATTTAGAATTCTTTCATTACGACACGACAATAAACAAATTATATATACTTTTCTAAATTAATGCATTTCATCTTTCCTTTCAGATCCTAAATTCAAGGAACCAATAGCCAATGTAACCGCGCCGGTGGGAAGAGAAGCTATTCTTTCCTGCGTAGTTCAAGATCTCGCCGGATATAAGGTAATTCAAATTTTTATAGATGCGTATAAGCATTCTTTTATCGATCCTTTCAATTTCAGAAGTACGATACATCATTATTGTATCAATTAAATCTGCCTTTGTATTTAGTAAATTCCAAAAACTTTTTTTTCTTTTCCATATGTTTTAATTAATATTAAGTAATACGGGTACATATTTAAAGCTTTCTTTATAATAAATTTAGACTTACTCTCATGCAATCATTAACATAAAAAAAATCAATCATATCTTGATATGATTGTAGTTTTTTTTTCTTATAAATGAATCAATATGTTCTCGTCATGAAGATCTCAATAAATTAATTTAAGAAATTGAGATATTGCCAATAATTAAAAATTAAAAATTCTAATACTTTTTTTATTATGGTATTATTGTTTAATATCTTAAACTGTTAATCAAATATAATCCGTTTATCATATAATCGTTTATCGATAAATTTTCATACCTCAAGCTGCGCTTTGTAGGATCATAAAATGTGTTTTTACAGCATACTTATAAGAATAATTCATGAATATAGTTACAAACTGGCTACGAAATTCTACACGGCCATTTCAGTACTGCGAATGCTCTTCCCTCTCTCCTTATGATAAGAAGTATCCAAATGATACTAAATTACTTTAAGTGACGCGGCAGTTTTATAATATTAATGCGAAAATATATTATCGAATAGTGATTGAACAAAACTTCAAGATGATGGAAATATGCCGTTGAAAAAATTGATAATATATTTTCTTTTATCAGTTTTATATATTGTTTGCAATATTTCCGTTTGCAATGTTCCGCCAGGTCAAGTTATTAATAAAATAAAGAATTATAAATTTTTTTACATTTGATTATATATGTATAATGCATCCAAAGTTAAAATAATTCAATATTGGCTATACATTCGATGCTATTAATTTTACATAACGCGTGCGCGTTGGTAGATTTTACATTACGCATAAAAGAAATGATATGTATTATAAAATTAAAATTATTCGTAGAAATATTCTCGAACAAAAGAGAATCCGAAACGCTATACAATAGGTTGAGTTGTTTAACCCATTGACCTCGTTAGCAAACCACGAAAAAAATTAAATGAATTTCTATCTCTCTCTGAAGCTCTTTACATACTGCCGCACTTTAGATGGTCTGAAGAATTCTCCCACCCAGGAGAAGCAATTAGTTAATTAATTAGTAAAATTACATGGAGAGGTATAAAAATGAATACTCATCGGGTACAAGCTGGAACGATCTTATTCAGTCTTTACTCGCAATTCCGGTTCAGCTGGCGTCAGCTAAAATGAGTATAGCGACAATGTTATGTAGGTAATGGCTTTCACGAAGTACTAATTAGGGAATGAAAACCGCGTGAAGTAAGAACAGCGTCTCAAAGAGGAATTTGATAAAGTTTCCTTCTCGAGAATCGATTGTTCATCTTTTCTCAATTAATATTTAATAAACCTATAAATACTCGAATCGTTAATAATAATAAATTATTCTAATCTTTACTACATTGAATAAATTCTAATGCAAAAGTTTTATATTACAATGACAACTATCTACTTTTGCTTCGTAATCGTTGACTGATTTTGCGTTAATATAAAATCTGTTTGTCAAATAAGCATTAAAGTAATCATGCAGATTTAACATATTCTCAACGAATGTGCACCAGCATAAACTTCTCACAAATTTGCTGTAACTGTCACACAAAGTTGGTACATAAATTCTCATTAGAATAAAAGGTTATATTTTTATCCGTTTTCTGGTTGGTATGTTCACGAAGTTAGGGTATAAATAAGCTTTGTGTATAGAGAAATTTCTCCGAGCATATATTTGTTTGGCATTCGAGACAGTAGGAAAACGTGGCCAATAAGAAAATCGCGAAGAAAAAGGCGCCATTGCAGTGTAAACAAAAAGGCATCTCAAACAATAGGGCATTAGCTTTGTGAACTGTAATGAAAATGCTGACTACTTTGTTCACATTAAATACTACTTGTGTTATGCGCTGCACAATGAATTCTAATTGCTAAAAAATGTTGACGAAGGAATGCTTTTGACAAAGTCCTGTTAAAAGCACTCGGCACATTAGGTTATTCTTTATTATTATTATTATTATTATTATATTTTCACTGCATTTTTCATTTGTAAAAAGATTTATATAAATATATATGTATAATTTATTTATATCTTATATATGTACATATGTAAAACATAAATAAATTATACGTACGAAATTTATTTATATTTTGTACATTAAGGCGTAAATATAAAATAAATATATTCAAAATTTATGAATATGACAATTTAATTACACAATTTAAAGAGCTTGTTAAGATATAGCATGTAAGCTACAGATATGAAAACCGCAAGCTTGATATTCAAAATCCAAACTTTCTCTCTCTCGCTATATGTTTAATTTTATAGTAAATATTATAGCGTATTATAACTTGCGTGACAACGTCCGTGGTATCATTATAATCATTTGTGGTGTTGTCCTGAGCACACACACACACACACACACACACACACACACACACACACACACACACACACACACACACACACACACACACAAAATTATCAATATTTAATATCCCTCGCATTAAAGGCATGATAATTGTTACGTACAGATAAATATTGAGTTCACTGTTTGATAATATCTGGCATTTAACGCAATGTATTTAATCTAATTGTAGATTATTGTTGCACACGAGAATTCTGTCATTACACGTAAAACATTTTTGTTAAATAGCATCGTTTGCAAATATTCTATTCTTCTGATCAATTAGAAATATTATTATCAATTGTTTCATGTATGATGCTCCTGAATTACATTGAACGTATGTACCTATCTGTCGTTCGCACTGTAGCTTCCGTATCGTTTGAATTACATGCCATCATCGAGAATTAATTGAGGATCGCTTAATTAAGGGATGATGCAGGTTATTTGTGCCTCTAATTGTAGATTATATCATAAAACAGCTCAGTGTAATAATTCTTACAATTAATCGACAAGTAGTACTACATAGATAAGAACTTTTCTAATGATCAATCGTTACTTCGAATATACGTATATCTTTAATTTGGAATTGGAACATATAAATCCTAGTCATGGAATATTTTCCTAACTTTTTTAAGTAGCATAACGATTTGAAATAATTTTATGCTTTACGATCTTATTTTTTATCATTATTTTGTTTTATTCATTTAAGTTAATTATCGTATTACATTTATGTTAGTAAGTTCAATGTTGCAATTTTTTAATATGTAGTTGAAAATTTTAAAACTTTAAAAAACTAGTAGCAAAAAATTTTTTTGGGATCCCAAGGACCCGTATAGTTCTTTTCCGTCACAAAAAATATGTATTCTTGCTACGGATTAAATAAGTTAGGGTGCTTCGCTTCGTACAGTGATCGCAGAAACATGGTTACTACGATATAGAATTTTACAAAGAATAGCAGCATCTGCAAGATCGAGGGAAGATTTATACGCGATGAACGGAACTGGAATCGCGGAAAGGATCGACAAGAGGAAAGGTATTGAAAACTATTCATCCAGCGCCAGCTCGCCCGACATGAAATTCAAATCGATGCATTTATAGAGACCACGCGGACCCCGTCCACGACCCGACATTGCTTACGTGGTGGAACGATGTGATGTTGGCCATAAGGGTGAGTCCGATGGGGTAGGACAGGGCGGAATAATCGTGCCGTTTATAAGCCGGCAGTGCGTCGCTCGGTGTTCCGGCTATGCATTAAGATGACGGATAACAGCCACAGCTATGCCGGGAGGCTTGAATCGTCACGATGCGGAGATAACGACGCCTCTCCAGGCTCGTCGCTCCCAGATTCCCGCATGTAATATGCGCCGTAGACATAACCCTTTTACTTCTTCAGATGATGCGATATCTTCACCGAGCGCCGAGCTTTCCATCATCAGGCGTACCGAATTTCAAATGTTTCCTGTTATTGATCTCGAATGAACAGATATCTCGAATCACTGCTTTAGAGCCACTGATAAATGATAAAAATATTAAACAGGCAATGACGATTTCGATCGTGTAGCCGAACGCGTTGTGATCTGTTCTCGTAATAAAGAAATGAATTCTGTTTTTAGCGAAAGAACCAAATTATTTATTTAATCTATTTTGTCTCCTGGAATCTATTTCGCTGAACATCCGAACATTTAATTCATAGAAACTCGCATTATTATTGTCTTGCTTTTGAAACAATTATATCTTTTCGGTCGACCCATACATTCGACAGGTAACGCGACAGAACTGGGGCATTCAGTATAGCAACGCTATAATATAATGAATAGGTGTTCATGAAAGCAGGACTAAGTTATGGCCTCAGGATATAATAATGGGTTGACCGGGTGATTGAGCATAGTCTTTGCGAGATTACAGTTGCGACCGAGAACTATCAGCTTCGCTTGAATTTTAATTGCAAAATTTTGGCCGGTGCATTCGGCTCCTTGACTTGAATAATCGTGACTCGTTAATGCCGACTGGACTTAAAGTCGTATAGCCGATTACTGTTTGGTTCCTATGATCCTTCTCTCTCAATCGCCATCTGTAATTCAATTCTAATTATGAGCCGAAGCGTCATACAATTGTTCGAAAACGTGGCAGGCGGATTCATGTCGCGCGGCACAGGATAATTTTATTAAAATAATTAGATAATAATTAATTAATTACGCTTGTCATAGCTAAGTATGACAATGTAACGTAGTTTATTAATAATAACAGTGCATTTACTATCAGTGAATTTAATGATGCGCTTCGCTGTATCGAATTGAAACTTAGAATAATGCGAAATGAATCGAGATGTACATCTGAGTATAAAATATGATATTTTTCATTTCTCATTGATCGTTTTATTCTTTAACGACAGACAATGAGTACTTTATTATAATATAACGTTCAGTAATCAATATTCAGCGATCGATTCTTCGCCGACATGTTCCATCTTCTTCGAATAAAACGATGTACAGCTCTA